GAAAGTATGTGAGGTTCTTTTGTAGGTTTTATGGTTGTCTAGTTGGTTCTACAAGATAGAAGTATGCAATTTTTATAGAGCCTGATACAGACTTATAATTGTGACTGTTCGATGTAGGTAAAAAATCCCATATTTAGTTTAGTTTTTCTCATTTTACCCTTACCTCTTCTCTTCTCTTATTTTGTTTTTTTTTACGTATTCCCCTATATCTCTGTGTTTCTTTTATATTAGTTTTTTTTTCTTTTTTTTTCACTTCTCTATGAGAAGATGTCATCAGATTGGTGATATCCTATTGTAGAGCAGTGGTCGAACAAGCCCCCAGTAGGGTATTATCTTAATTGATCGTATCTCTCTGGTGTAGTATAATCACCTGTAGGTGCATGTAGATAACCAGTTAGGTTATATGAGATAACCGCAGGATATTAGACCTGTAGTTTTAATACTATGTACTTCAACAAGTGTCACTTTATTAAATAAAGATACTGGTATGATCTGCCAAAGTAAAGCAAAAAAAATATATATATATATATTTTAAAATAATTTCAAACCAATTTAAAATATTTTGAAATAATTTGAAACAATTCAAAACAATTTGAAATATTTTGAGTTTACTAATTCGAAATATATTAAAATATTCTAAATAAAGAAATATAATAAACTAAAATTTTTTATAATAAAATTTACTAGAATATTTTGAAATGTTTCGAATTATTTCAAATTAAACTAAATTTATTAGTTTTTTATAAACATTTACTACATATAAATTTTATAGCTTAAAACTCTATTTTATTAATAACTTTATTGTTATTTTATTAAAAATAACATATAAAAAAGATCGATTACATGCAATATATAACTTTATTAAAAAAAACCCCCAAATTTTTTATTTTTACCTATTTAATTTATATATAAAAAAAAAAAATTTTTTATGAAAATTATTATACAATGAATGTCATTGTATAATTAACATCATTGCATACCGAACATCATTGCATAACAAATATCATTGTATAATGAATATTGTTGCATAACAAAAAAAAAATACCAAACCACCTGATTATATCAAAAAGTCTGACTTCACCACGGCAAAACTTCACTACAAAGATAACAACACTAACGACATTACTAACGAATAAATCTTCACTATAAAGACAATGACACCAACGACAAAAACTTCACCAACAGCAATAACACCAATGATGAAACTTCACCACCAAGAAAAATGATACCAATAACAAAGACGATAATACCAATAACAAAACTTTACCACCAAGAAAGATGCCAACAACAGCAAAGTGATTCCAATAACAATATGACGATTCTGAAATTAAAGCTAAAGAAAAAAAAATTGTTAGTTTTATAAAGAAAAAAAATGATGAAAAACAGAAAAAAAAAGAGACAAAAAAAAAACAAATAATGAAAGAAAAACAAAAGGAAAAAAAACAGAAGAGAAAAGAAAAGGAGAAAAGCACAAGAAAAAACTAAAGAATAAAAAAAACAAATAGACGAAAGAAATCAGAAGAGCGAAAAAAATTTAGACAAGAAACAAAAGAAAAAACAGAGAAGAAAAAAACAAATGAGTGAAAGAAAAAAAAATATGTGAAAAAAAAGATAAATGGGTGAAAAAAAAAACTGATAAATGAAAGAAAAGACAAAAAAAAAAACAAAAAAAGGGAAAAGAAAAAAACAAAAAGAACAAAAAAAAAAGATAAAGAAAAAATGAAAGAAAAGACAGAAGAAAAACAGAAGAAAAGACAGAAGAAAAAAAGAAAGAAAAGACAGAAGAAAAAAAGAAAGAAAAGACATAAAAAAAGATAGAAAACAAGATAAAAAAAAAGATAGAAGAAAAATTGAAAGAAAAGATAGAAGAAAGACAAAAGAAAAATAGAAAAAAAGATAGAAGAAAAGACAGAAGAAAAAATAGAAAAAAAACAGAAGAAAAAACAGAAAAGAAGACGAAAGAAAAGACAAAAAAAAAGACAAAAAAAAAGACAGAAGAAAAAACGAAAGAAGAAAAATCTAAAGTGAACAAAAAAATTAAAGATAAAAAAAAATCAAAACCGAAAAAAAAAAAATTGTGAAAAAATAGGGTGAAAAAAAGAAAAAAAAAGTGCAAAAAAAAAAAATTTCAAAAAAAAAGATAAGAAAAGAAGCAAGCAAAATGGCAAAGAAAGCAAAGCGGCAAAGAAAAGAAAAACAAAGTGGCAAAGAAAAGCAAAGCAGCAAAGAAAAGCAAAGTGAAAAGAAAAGTAAAGAAAAGCAACATGGCAAAGAATAACAAAGCGGCAGAAAAGCAAAGCAGCAAAGAAATGCAAAGTGGCAAAGAAAAGCAAAACAGCAAAAAAAGTAAAGCAGCAAAGAAAAAGCAAAGCAGCAAAGAAAAGTAAAGCAGCAAAGCATCAAACAAAAACAAAAAGTGCGATTATCAATTGTTTATATGTGATCGGCAATCTCAAAAATGATTGGCTGATCATATAAAAACACAGTCACTAAATAAATCGAAATAATTCAATTTATTTAGCAACTCATTGTACTGCGTCCCTTATATGATTAGCAATCTCAAAAATGATTAGCTGATCATTAAGGGTGTAGTGCAACAGGTCGCTAAATAAATTGAATTATTTTGAATTAATTCAATTTATTTAGCGATCCGTTGTACTGCAACCCTCATATGATCAGCTAATTATTTTTGAGATTGCTAATCATATAAGGGATGCAGTGCAATAAGTTGCTAAATAAATTGAATTAATTCAAATTATTTCGAATTAATTTAAGTTTACATTATTCACTTCAACCCTCTTCATAATTATTCTATCAATTTATTTAATATATTTATTTCGAATTTCAAAATATTTCTTTTGTAATAATGCTCAAATTATTGTAAAATATAGCATAATATCTTATATAATATTTTGTAATAATCTTACATAATATTTTGAAATTGTATATTTTGCTTTATTGCGCAATATTTTGCATAATATTATGGCTATTTTATATTGTATAATTTATTTTGCAATATTACACTCTATTAAATTTGCTAATGTAATTATTTCTCTATGATTATACTTTTGAATTGCATATCAAACCAAGCTAAGAGTGCAATTTACACCTTTTTCTTGCTTATCATCATCAAGTATTTTGGTTTTGTTAATTACATAATTAGTTTATTGTATATTAAAAATGTTATCTATATTATAAACACTGAATAAGTATACTTTTTGAGAACTTTTGAAGTATAATAATCCTACTTGCTGTACCGAATAAGGTATTTGTATATTTTGGATCTAGTTATATACAATATGAGCTATTTTTTCAAAAGTTTTAAATAGTACTTTAGATTCAACTATAATTAGATTGTATTTACTATCTTTAACTGCTTTTACAATATTATTATTATAGTAGTTATATTTTTTTTGTGCATAATATAAATGTGCTAAATAATTTTTAATAATTTATAATTTTTTCATTTTGAGTAGCATATTGAATATCTATTTTTATTATCACACAAGTTTCGTACAAATTAGACTTCAGAGATATAAATTAAAGTGACAGTATTAGAATTTTCTAAACATTAGTAAAAGTTGATTCAGCAATAATCGAACATCATTTCTATACTTATCTTTAGAGGCCTGCACATAATTATAGTATACTAAAATATAGTTATAATTGGTATAGGTAATTTTATTACTTTTAATATATTACATATTATATTACTAGTTAAAAAAGTTTATAATTAATATTTTATTTAATCATTTTTATCTAAGACTAAGCTTTTAGAATTATATATTTTATAATATTAAATAATAAAAATAAATAAATTATATTTTAATTAAACCTTTTTTAATTACAATTATTAAATTTTTATATAAAATTATATTTTAAAATTTATAAATTTTGATCCACTGATCTAATTTAAATGATTTAACTATCAAAATGATTCTCTCAATGAGAGGATTATAATAAATCCAAAACTATACAGATATAGTTACGTGATCACGTAATCTGAAAAGATTTATATTAAATATAACTCTCTTCTGATCTTGTGATCACGTGACTATATTTGTATAATTTTAGATTTATTAAAATTTTTTCATTGAGAGAATCATTTTGATAGTTAAATCATCTAAATTGGATCAGTAGATCATAAGTTATAAAATTTTAAAATTTATATATTATTTAAAAAATAATATTATACAAAAAAATTAGTACTTTACTTAATATTATAATTCTTTTTTTTACATAATAACCTTATATGAAATTTTGCAAACTTTTTTATTATTGTTATACCAAGTTACTTGCATAATAGCACAAAGCAACACTTAATTTTGATTAGTTAACTTTTAAAAAACTAAAAAATTTTAGTTTTTATTAATTTTTTTTAAAAAATTGAATAAATTTAAATTTTTTTTAAAAAATATTAAATCAAAAAATTATAAAAAATTATTTTAAAAATAATTTATATAAATACTCAAATATTATATATAATTTTTTGATTGCTTATTAATATATAAAAATTTAAATTATTATATTTAATTTAACGTATATCAGGATGGTATATTATGCTTAATAAAATTGCCAATAGAAAGAAATACAATTAATATAGAAATTTCTTTAAAATATTATCCAGATAAAGATATACTATATATATCTAAATAGTTTTTTAAAAATTTAAATACATCACTTGTTATACTATAATTTACTTCAACGTGTTTCATGTTTTTTGAAGCTCTATCTGTATTTTTATATATATGTTCTTCAAGATCATGCTTTTATAAATGCTTTGTAATAGTTTCTAAATATTTATATTTTACTTCTGCAAAAGCCAAATATGTATTATGACAAATTTGAATACTATTATTATAATAATAACAGAAACACAAGTATTTTTTATTTTTATTAGAATTTTTTTATATTTTCATTTTTTTGAAAAGCTATAAGCAGTTCTTTAATAATCATATCATGAATATTTTTATCTAAACTTTCAAATTTAGTTTGATATGCAAGAAACTATTTTGATCAAAGCAGGTTTGTTTAGAATAGTATGGGTATTTTTTTTCAAAAAATTTTTTAATTATTACTTTCAGATCATCATATACTTTATCTTTAATATAATTTTCAAAAACTTCTACAAATTCAAATTTGTTTAATCTATCTAAGTTAATATCATTATTAATATTAAGAATTTCTTTATTATTATTATTATCCGATTCAGAACTCTTTTCAGAATCTGAATTCTTAATAAAAAATATATTTTTTAAATCTTTTAAAGCAGTCAAAACAACTTCATTTGTTTTTTGATTACTAAAACATATATCAGTCAGAGGATATACCAAATTAGGTGATCAAGTTCTAGAATGATCATCATAAAAATCTGTGAATATGATTGGCTTTTCACTTTTTTTTACATTCAAGTTCACCATGGGGTTTTACAAGATTTTGCATATTCATTTATTATTAAACGATATACTAGTAGACAGTTTAAAGCTTATAGTTTCGATCATCTCAATTAATCCCTTAATGTGAACTATCTGTAAAAAAGTAAATGAAACCTAAAGTTAAAGATCTACTTTGTATAAGATCTGAGAGCTATAGAAATGGCAGCATGCAAGTAGTTGAAAAACAGCTAAGTAACTTTATTTTTTTTGTTAGATTTATAAAGCAGATATTTAAAATAAGCTGTTTATTT